AAAAAAAAACACCATGTTAATACAGCCCTTTCCCCATTCCCCATGGAGCAGGACAGGTAATCTGGCCATTGGTGACAGAATATCTTTAAATGACACTTAATTTGCAGATGCACTAAAGTGCCTGTGGGAATAAAACCAAATTTCAAAGGGGCTCAAATTACCTCAAATCTTGATAGCCACAGAATTTTTTTTCAGCAATAAAAAATGTATTTCATTTTGGTAAATAACCTTATTTCCTTCCATACAGTTCTGAAACTACCATAAAATAGCCCTAGAAATGACTTTTTTTTCTTTTTATAAAGGTAAATTTAATTTTCAATGTGAAAATAATTTTAGGCCTCTCATTCAGATTCCTGTATTCACTGCTTACTGTGATTTATTTCAAATTAAAACCTATTTAAACTCTATATAGTTTTTATTTTTTTGACATACACAACTTTTAAAAACATGTTATAGCAATGCATTTTTTTCTCTTTAAAAACAATGATTGTTTTCAACCATTCTAAAATTTTTCTTAAACTGTATGCAGTAATGCACGCTAAAATTCCAAAAGATAGAAGAGAAAGGGAGATAAAATAGGGGGAAAGACTTTTTTTTCTTTTCTTTTTTTTTTTTTTTTTTGCCATTTTTGGCCAGGGTTGGGTTTGAACCACCACATCCAGCATATGGGGCCGACCCCCTACTCCTTTGAGCCACAGGAGCTGCCCGGGGAAAGGATTTTAACCAAATGCTACTGTTTCCAGGAAATACAGTAAATTCCCTGTTATCTGGAACTCAAACAAGCAGCACTCTCAAAGAACTGGTACATGAACTTGCCAAAAAATATCAGATTTTAAAGTCAGTACCTGTGCTATGCTGAAGCTTCCTGATCACTCCCAGGGCTCCTGAGTGTTAATGTGTGTTACCTAAAGTTAAAAACATGTGGTAGTTAAGTTGAAAAGTGTATTGATTAACATTTAACTAAAAATGTACACTGTATTTGCAAAGCAAGTGAAGTTTGCCTTTCTCTTAATTTGCTTTTAAGTACTGTATTTCAATATTAATATCAAGTCAGTATAGAATTTATGGTATGGTGTGGTATATTACATAGTATTGGGTATAGAATGAATTAGGCCTGTGGGTTTTTTTTTTTTTTAATTACATCATAGCTGTGTACATTAATACAATCATGGGGTACAATGTGCTGGTTTTATATATAATTTGAAATATTTTCATCAAACTGGTTAACACGGCCTTCATGATATTTTCTTAGTTATTGTGTTAAGACATTTATATTCTACACTTAGTAAATTTCACATGTACCCTTGAGTTAGGCCTATTTTTAATAGTAACTCTCAAGCAACCATGAACTACATTTATCAGGAATTTACTAATCCTCATGGGTGCCAGATAATGTAGAAATTACTGTAAAAAGACCATATGATAGAAACAAGAGAAGCTGCCATTATTTTCTAACCTACTTGACACTTACTGTGTGTATCATGCTGTTATTGCCCTTTCTCTGGGAACTGCTGCTGGTAACAAGTCTGCTTCAGAGCTGTGATCTCAGACCTCCCAATCCACAGCCTGTGCTTAGTTCTAGCTAACTGCTTCTGCTTCTCTCTCCAGGGTGCCATCATCCAATCAGGGGGTGTGCAGTTTATTCTATTGGACACCAACAAGCTTCCCCTTAAGAGCCAAATCACCTTTTCTCCTCCAGGATATTGGCTGTTGGTGACTCCCACTTGAGTCCTCCCCAGGAATTGCTCTTGGCAAAAAGAACTGTCCTTGTCCACAGGTGTGTGTCCTTGCTGAGGAGAGGGGGCACAAGTTACAGGGGCTGGACAGCACAGGAGCACCGAGACCCAGACCCATGACTCAATCTGGGCTATGGCAGCTATAGAGCTCCCTGAAGGAGCTGAGGACAGTTGAACATCTCCCTCTGCCTAATCTTACCCTCATAATAATCTGAAATTTTAAAAAAGCATCTCTCTGGAGACCACTAACCTCCCACCACCCCAAGCTCTGCATACAAACATCTGCCTCAAAGTCCTTTCCCAGGAGAACTCAAATGGAAACATTGGGCATTGGAAGTAGTCCTAGGAACAGTCACACTCTGGCCAGCACTGAGGCTGTCTGCTGGCATCATTGATGCCCCCAACAGGTTGTAGCCCAGCAACTGCTGAAGTTCTCACTGTGATGAACTTGGGTGGGGTCATCATGAAGAGAGTACAGCACTGGATGCTACTACATTACAGCATTCAAGAGAGTCTGGTGAAATAGCAATCATGAGTCTCTGGAATGAGACTCTCTTCTCGAAGACCTCAGTGCATTTTAGGAAGAAAATAAAGGAATTTAGAGGAAAGTGACTTCAGCAAGATGGCTGAGTAGAAGTGCCTGGCACTTGTCTTCCCCACAAGAAAGGGCCAAGGCAATGAATAAACACTAAGATTTGACCACAGTGTTAAAAAGAGCATGCTAGAGTGCAGCAGGGGAGGGGAGAAGCACCTCTGGTGACTGGAATCCCAGGAGCTCAGGGTGCAGGCACAGGCCTCTGCAGCCCTGTCTCCCCCTCTCAGGCCAGATCAGCCTGGAGACAAAGGGAACTTCCCCCTGTGGCTAAAAGGTAAGTAGAAGATCCCCATTAGGTAAGCATAAGATCCCCATCAGTCCAGCAGAAGATCCCCATCAGTCCTCATTGCCATCACAATCACCTACAGTCCTAACTGCAGGAGGATCCCAGTCCTCACAAGCCCCAAGCCCAGTTAGAGAACTACTGGGAATTCACACACTTGCACTGCATTAGATTAGGAGCACAAAGTGTGTACTCCCCCTACATCCCATGAGCCAAGCAACACCATCTTAAAATTCGAGCCACCTCTGGAGCATGCCCTCCTCTAGGGGGTATTGGATACTTGCACCTTGTCCAGCATTGGAGCTCCATCTGCATTACATAAAACCTACAAAGGAGGCTGAATACCACAATCCAGCCCAGGCATAGGATTGGCTGTGACTCTAGCTCTACCAGAGCAGGGATACCATCCCTACCACCTGCACTTTCAGCTAGAGGAACAGTCTGGCAGTCACACCCAGGGTGAATCTGCTGTTTATCCAGCAAAACCATTGCACCCTCCCCTAAGCAAGAGAGTCCCCTGAGCCATTGAGCAGCTGGCATGTCCCCAAGTAGGTAGAGCAGCTGTGTACCCACACCCAGGGCCTGAGAAATAGCCCTAAGGTGCTCAGTCCCCTACCCCCAAAGACATGCCTCTGTCCTGCCCCAAATCTGTGTGTCCAGAACCAGGAAAGGAGAAACAGCCCCATGGTTTGCAGACACACCCTCAAGCCAGCAGAGCAGCTATGTGCCTATATTTCAGACCTGAGAAACCGCCCTGTAGGCCAGCTCAGCAACTGCATCCCCATGCCCCCCAGCCAAAGTAACAACCATGCCCCCAGCCAAAGTAACAACAGCCATGGCCCCAACTCCACATAGTCATCAAGTTGGACAACCTACCATGTGCACACCTGTGCCCCTGACCTGAGAAATAACCCAGCAAGTCTTCCCCTGGTAAAGCTACAGCACTACTACCACAAATTCATCACTATCTTGGACATCTAGACCCAAGAAGCTCCAAGCCCCAAAGATTCAAACCAAAGAAGTTCTCTCTGAGGCAGATTACAGTCAAACTGTCAAAATCCTAAGGCAAAGACAGAATTCTAAAACAGTAAAAGTGTTAAATTACATATAAGAGAATCTCTATTAGACTAACAACAGAAACCTTACAGGACAGGAGAGAATGGGAAGAGAAATTCAAAGTACTGAAGGAAAAAAAATGCCATCCAAGAATATTATACCCAGAAAATCCATCCTTCAGTTGAAAGAAAAATATGATATTTCACAGACAAACAAAAACTAAGTAAATTCATCACCCATTATTAGACTGGCCTTATGAGAAATTCTCAAAGTAGTCTTTCATCTGGAAGTGAAAAGACAATAACCATGGAAACATATGAAATTTAAAAACTCCCCCGCTGTGTCCCCTCCCTCGTATTCTACCTTGTAAATACTGTTATTTGTATATACTGTAAATGATGACATCGGTGGGCACTAACTGAGCCCGGGGAAACTGGGAACAACCTCAAAACCAAAACCAGACACAGCATAAGCAGTGGCCACAGGCCATTGCAGAACAAATTCGACTTGCACAGATGATTTCCGACCATAATGACTGACTTTGAAGAGAAGGTAAAACAATTGATTGATATTACAGGAAAGAACCAGGATGAATGTGTGATTGCTTTACATGACTGCAATGGAGATGTCAACAGAGCCATCAATGTTCTGCTGGAAGGAAACCCAGATACGCATTCCTGGGAGATGGTTGGGAAGAAGAAGGGAGTCTCAGGACAGAAGGATGGTGGCCAGACAGAATCCAATGAAGAAGGCAAAGAAAATCAAGACCACGACAGAGACTATAGTTGGCAATGTGGCGGGCCACCAAGACGAGGGAGAGGTGCCAGCCGTGGACGAGAGTTTCGAGGTCAGGAAAATGGATTGGATGGCACCAAGAGTGGAGGGCCTTCTGGAAGAGGCACAGAAAGAGGCAGAAGGGGCCATGGCCGAGGCAGAGATGGCTCCAGCAGGTGAGGAGGAAGGTTTTCTGCTCAAGGAATGGGAACCTTTAACCCAGCTGATTATGCAGAACCAGCCAATACTGATGATAACTATGGCAATAGTAGCAGCAATACGTGGAACAACACTAGCCACTTTGAACCAGATGATGGGACGAGTGCATGGAGGACCACAACAGAGGAGTTGGGGACTGAAGACTAGAATGAAGATCTTTCTGATCTTCAAGATCTTCACTGCCTCTAATGTGTCTTCAGTGCCTCTGCCTACCGAGAATGTGACAATCACTGCTGGCCAGAGAACTGACCTTGCTGTTTTGTTGGGGAAGACACCATCTTCAATGGAGAATGATTCATCTAATCTGGATCCATCTCAGGCTCCTTCTCTGGCCCAGCCACTGGTGTTTAGTAACTCGAAGCAGAGTGCCATATCACAGCCTGCTTCGGGGAACACATTTTCTCATCACAGTATGGTGAGCATGTTAGGGAAAGGATTTGGTGATGTCAGTGAATCTAAAGGCAGCAGCAGCACCACTGCCTCCCAGTTCTTGGAGCAATTCAAGACTGCGCAAGCCCTGGCTCAGCTGGAAGCTCAGTATTCTGAATCTGGAAGCATCACCACCTCCTCTTGGGACATGGGCTCGACAACATAGTCCCCGTTACTGGTGCAGTATGATTTGAAGAACGCAAGTGATTCAGCCAGGCTTTCACGTCATCTTCAACCATGATGCAGGTGTTCCTTCAGGAGAAGCCACCTGCAGTGGCTACTTCCACAGCTGCATCTCCACCCCCCTCTTCTCCTCTGCCAAGCAAATCCACCTCAGCTCCACAGATGTCACCTGGATCTTCAGACAACCAAACCTCTAGCCCTCAGCCAGCTCAGCAGAAACTGAAACAGCAGAAGAAAAAAGCCTCCTTGACTTCTAAGATTCCTGCTCTGGCTATGGAGATGCCTGGCTCAGTAGATATCTCAGGGCTAAACCTGCAGTTTGGGGCATTGCAGTTTGGGTCAGAGCCTGTCCTTTCTGATTATGAGTCCACCCCCACCACGAGCAACTATTCGAGCCAGGCTCCCAGTAGCCTGTATACCAGCGCGGCCAGGGAATCATCATCTACAATTTCATCTAACCAGAGTCAAGAGTCTGGTTATCAGAGTGGCCCAATTCAGTCAACAACTTATACCTCCCAAAACAATGCTCAGGGCCCTCTTTATGAACAGAGATCCACACAGACACAGTGATACCCTGGTTGCATCTCTTCATCCCCCCAAAATGACCTGACTCAGGCAAAGAATGGCTTCAGTTCTGTGTAGGCCATGCAGTTACAGACCACGCAATCTGTTGAAGGTGCTACAGGCTCTGCAGTGAAATCTGACTCACCTTCCACTTCTAGCATCACTCCCCTCAATGAAATGGTATCTGCAGCCTCCTTGTTGATGACAACTAATCAGCACTTAGCCTCCTTGGGTGGCTTGAGCCACAGTGAGGAGATTCCAAATACCACCACACCAGACAGCAGCACGTTATCTACGCAGCAGAATACCCTTTCGTCATCAACATCTTCTGGGCATACTTCAACATCCACTCTTTTGCACACAAGTGTGGAAAGTGAGGCGAATCTCCATTCTTCCTCCAGCACTTTCTCCACCACATCCAGCACAGTCTCTGCACCTTCCCCAGTGGTCAGTGTCTCCTCTAGTCTTAATAGTGGCAGTAGCTTGGGTCTCAGCCTAGGCAGCAACTCCACCGTCACAGCCTCAACTCAAAGCTCAGTTGCTACAACTTCAGGAAAAGCACCTCCCAACCTCCCTCCAGGGGTCCCGCCATTGTTGCCTAATCGGTACATTACGGCTCCAGGGCTGTTACATGCCTATCTGCCACAAGCATATGGTTATGATGACTTGCAGATGCTTCAGACAAGATTTCCATTGGATTACTACAGCATCCCATTTCCCACACCCACCACTCCGCTGACATGGAGAAATGGTAGCCTGGCCAGCAACCCTTATTCTGGTGACCTCACAAAATTCGGTTGAGGGGATGCCTCCTCCCCAGCCCCAGCTACAACCTTGGCCCAACCCCAACAGAACCAGATGCAGACTCACCACACCACGCAGCAGACATTCCTGAACCCGGCGCTGCCTCCTGGCTACAGTTACACCAGCCTACCATAATACACAGGGGTCCCGGGCCTCCCCAGCACCTTCCAGTATGGGCCTGCTGTGTTCCCTGTGGCTCCTACCTCTTCCAAGCAGCATGGTGTGAATGTAAGCATGAATTCATTGGCCACCCCTTTCCAACAGCCGAGTGGATACGGGTCCCATGGGTACAACACTGGAAGAAAATATCCACCCCCTTACAAGCATTTCTGGACGGCTGAGAGCTAATTTGGCGCAAGGCTGGGGGCTGTGTTTTGTGTGTGTATATAAATTTGCCCTGAAGTCTTGTTTCAGAAATCAGACCACTGAGGAGAGCCTGCTGAGCTGAGGCCACAGTCTGTGTGGCTGGGGGAAATGAGTTGGTGGATACCTTCTGGGCTTTTGAACTTGCCCTGTCCTCCCCCTCCATTTCCCTCTCCCCTATGTGTCTGACCCTGTCTTACCCATTGCCAGTTCAAGAGGTGCGGCACCTCCGAAGCATCAGTGCACACACCTGCTGTAGCTTTTGATTTCTGGAAGGCATGTAGTTTCAACTTGTAACAAAAATATTTGTAGTCTTCAATAAACTGTAGTATTTCTTTAAAAAAAAAAGAAATTAAAAATCTCACTTGTCATGCCAATACACAAAGAAGAGAGAAGAATCAAATATTATTACTAAAGAAAATCGCCAAACACAAAAATAAGCAATAAGAGGAAGTAAGGAAAAAGGACATACAAAACAACCTGCAAACAATCAGTTAAATGACACAAGTCCTTGCCTATTAATAATAACTGTGACTGTAAATCCCTAATTTAAAAGGCATATACTGAATTGGCTGGCAACCTGTAGAAAATTGAAACTGGACCCACACCTTTCTCCTCTAACAAAAATTGACTCTCACTGGTTAAAGGACTTAAACTTAAGACACAAAACAATAAAAATTCTTAGAGCGCATGCAGGGGAAACATTTATTAAATTGGCCTAGGAGAATACTTCATGAGGAGAACACCCCGGGCAATTAAAGCAACTTCAAAAATACATTACTGGGATCTGATCAACTTAAAAACTTCTGCACTGCCAAGAACACACTAACTAAAGCAAATAGCCCTCAGAATGGGAGAGGATTTTTGCAAGTTATATATCCGACAAAGGTATAGACAGAATCCACAGAGAACTCAAACTAATTATTAAAAAAAAATAAGTGACCCCATTTCACTGTGGGCAAGAGACATGAACAGAAGTTTCTCTGAAGAAGATAGGCACTTGGTCTACAGACACGTGAAGAAATGCTCATCATCATTAATCATCAGAGAAATGCAAACCAAAACTACTCTGAGATACCATCTAACTCCAGTCAGAGTAGCCCACATCACAAAATCTCAAAATTTCAGATTTTGGCATGGATGTGGAGAAAAGGGAACACTTCTGCACTGCTGGTGGAAATGCAAGCTAGTACATCCCTTTTGGAAGGAAGTTTGGAGAACACTCAGGGATCTAAATATAGACCTGCTGTTGGATTCTGCAATTCCTCTTCTAGGAGTATATCCAAAAGACCAAAAATCATTTGTCAATAAAGATATTTGCACCAGATTGTTCAATGCAGCTCAATTCATTATTGCCAAGTCATGGAAGAAGCCCAAGTGCCCATCGAACCATGAATGGATTAATAAATTGTGGTATATGTATACCATGGAATACTATGTAGCATTAAAAAAAATGAAGACTTTACCTCTTTTATGTTTACATGGATGGAGCTGGAAAATAATCCAAAGAGTAGTTCTAAAGTTGTCTCAAGAAATTAATGAATTCAAAGACAAAGTCAACAAAGACATGGACATAATGAGAAAAGAGATAGCAGAGCTCAAAGAAATGAAAAAGTTATTCAAGGAGCTCCAAAATACAGTAGAATCCCTCAGTAATAGAGTTGACCAGGCAGAAGAAAAGATCTCTGAAATTGAATACAAAGCTTTTGAACATTCCCAAACACTCAAAGAGGCAGACAAATGGAGAGCAAAAGCTGATCATTCCCTGAGAGAGTTGTTGTATCACTCCAAAAGATCAAACATTTGTCTTATTGGAATTCCTAAAGGAGAAGAGGATGGTCCTAAAGGTACAGATACTCTACTCCAAGAGATTGTGGAGGAGAATTTCTCAAACATCGCAAGAGATACAGAAATTCAGATAGTAGGCATTTTCAAAACCCAAGCAAGACTCAATCCAAATAAAGCATCTCCTACACATACTTTGCCAAAGTTAAAGATGAAGGAGAAAATTCTGCAAGAAGCCAGATGTAAGAAAAGCATCACCTACAAAGGGAGATACATCAGAATGACTACAGATCTGCCAGTTGAAATGTCTCAAACCAGAGAGGATAGTTATCCACCTTCAATCTCCTAAAAGAAAACAACTTTCAGCCCAGGATCCTGTATCTACCTAAACTGAGTTTCATCTGTGATGGAGAAATCAAATATTTTTATGACATACACATGTTAAATAAATTTGCCATAACTAAACGAGCTCTCCAGGATATTCTCAGACCCATTCTCCACAATGCCCAGCACAATGCCCTACTACCAAAATAAACTCACTCAGAAATTTTTGAACAAAACCCAACTTCCACAGTGGTGAAAGGATTAAAACTGTCCACTGGACATTCAAAAAACATGACACCCAAAACACTACCGGGCTTATTCTCTCAATTAATGTGAATGGTTTAAATTGTCCTCTAATGAGGCATAGGTTGGCTGATTGGATAAATAAACTCAGGCCAACCATCTGTTGCATACAAGAATCTCATCTTACCTTAAAAGATAAAAATAGACTCAGGGTGAAGAGATGGACATCTATAATACAGGCAAATGGAAATCAGAAAAAATCAGCAGGGATTATAATTTTATTTGCAGATACAATTGGCTTAAAACCAACAATGATAAAGAAAGCTAAGGAGGGTCACTATGTATTTGTCAAGGGAAACATCCAACATGAAGAGATTTCGATAATTAACATTAATGCACCCTACCAGAATGCTCCTCAGTTTATAAAGCAAACCCTACTGGATATGAACAACTTGATATCTACCTGCACTATAATAGATTTTAACACCCCTTTGACAATTTTGAATAGATCCTCCAAGAAAAAACTAAACAAAGAAATTAATGTGACTTTAATCTGACCTGAGAACAAATGGACTTAACAGAACTCTGCAGAACATTTCATCCTAATAAAACTGAAAACACATTCTTCTCATCAGTCCATGGATCACCCTCCAAAACTGATCATGTCTTAGGACACAAGTCTAACCTCCACAAATTTAAAAGAATAGAAATTATTCCTTGTATCTTTTCAGACCACTATGAAATAAAAATTGAACTCAACAGCAACAGGAACTTCATACTCCAATGAAGTCATGGAAACTAAATAATCTAGGCTGAATGATAGCTGGGTCAAAGATGAGATTAAGAAGGAAATCACCAAATTTTGGCAACAAAATGATAATGAATACACAAATTATCAAATCCCGTGGGATACTGCAAAGGCAGTCCTATGAGGGAAATTTATAGGATTGGAAGCCTTTATCAAGAAAACAGAAAGAGAGGAAGCCAACAACTTAATGTATCATCTCAAGCAATTGGATAAGGGAGAACATTCCGACCCCAAACCTAGCAGAAGAAAAGAAATAACCAAAATTAGGGCAGAATTAAATCAAATTGAAAACAAAAGAATCATTCATAAGATCAATGAAACAAAAAGTTTGTTTGTTGAAAAGATTAATAAAATTGATAAACCTTTGGCTAACCTAACCAGAAACAGAAAAGTAAAATTCCTCATATCATCTATCAGAAACGATAAAGGGAAAATAACAACAGACACTACAGAAATTCAAAAAAATACTCAATGATTACTATTAAAAACTCTACTCCCAGAAATATTAAAATCTAAAGGAAATGGACCAACACTTGGAAGCAGACCACCTTCCTAGACTTAACCAGAAAGAATTAGAAATCTTGAATAGACCTATATCAATTATTGAAATAGCAGCAACAATACGAAATCTGCCAAAAAAGAAGTCTGGGACCAGTTGGCTTCACTTCTGAATTCTATCAAACCTTTAAAGAGGAGCTAGTACCTATATTATACCACCTTTTCCAAAGCATAGAAAAAGAAAGAATACTTCCCAACACATTCTATGAAGCAAATACCACTCTGATCCACAAACCAGGAAAGGATCCAAAAAAGAAAGAAAATTATAGACCAAACTCATTAATGAATATTGATGCAAAAATATTCAATAAGATCTTAGCAAACAGAATTCAACATAAAAAATAATAATAATACACCATGATCAAGTTGGTTTTATTCCAGGGTTCCAGGGATGGTTCAACATACACAAATCTATAAATATAATACATCATATAATAAAAAAAAAAACATAGACCATATGATTCTCTCAATTCATACAGTAAAAGCTTTTGATAATATCCAGCATCCTTTCATCAGAACACTTAAGAAAATAGGCATAGAAGGGACATTTCTTAAACTGATAGAGGCCTTCTACAGAAGATCCACAGTTGATATCATATTGAATGGAGTAAAATTGGAAACATTTCCACTCAGATCAGGAACTAGACAAGGATGCCCATTGTCTCCACTGCTATTCAACATAGTAATGGAAGTCATGCCATCACAATCAGGCAAGAGAAGGTGATCAAGGGTATCCAAATAGGGTCAGAGGAGATGAAACTCTCACTTTTCACTGATAATATGATCCTATATCTGGAACATCCCAGGGACTTAACTTCAAAACTCTTAGAAGTGATCAAGGAATACAGCAGTGTCTCAGGATACAAAATCAGTACTTAACAAATCAATAGTTTTTATATATGCCAACAATAGTCAAGCTGAAAATATAATCAAGGACTCTAATCCTTTTACAATAGTGCCAAAGAAGATGAAATATCTGGGAATTTACCTGCCAAAGACGTGAAAGATCTCTATAAAGAGAACTATGAAACGCTGAGAAAAGAGATAGCTGAAGATGTTAACAAATGGAAAAACATACCATGCTCATGGCTGGGACGAATCAACATTGTTAAAATGTCCATAGTACCCAAAGCAATCTACAGATTTAATGCAATCCCAATTAAAGCACCATTGTCATACTTTAAAGAGCTTGAAAAAATAGTGCTTCATTTTATATGGAATCAGAAGAAATCTCAAATAGCTAAGACATTAATCAGAAATAAAAACAAATCAGGAGTTATCACATTACCAGACTTCAG